TAGGATTTGGGTAGTTTTGAGGCAATTAAATTGGGTCTACTAGGATAATGTGATCCTAAGGATTTCAGAAAACTGTAAAATTTGCCAGATTTAGAATGAGGTGTCAACAAATAGGTGTCCTACAAAAGGTTTATGGTACAAGACACCCGAAGAAGCTTGGAGTTCCTACAAGCCAAATGTAGAGCATCTAAGAATCTTTGGGTGTATGGCTTTTGCCAAAATTCTCGAAGAGAAAAGGGCAAAGGTTGACGACAAAGGAGAAAAATGTGTATTCATTGGTTATGGAGAAAATACAAAGGGTTATAAGCTGTACAATCTCATTACTAAAAATGTATTCTTGAGTAGATATGTGATTTTTGATAAAAATGGAGTCTGGGATTGGAAAAATAATCAAGAAAAGAAAACTATTGAGGTTGATGAAGTGGAAGAAAAGGGACAAGTTGAGCATTAAGAAGGCTCTTTGAATCATATTTATGATGCTTCTTCTAGTGTGGCCAACCTACTTTAACTAGTAGTCCATCTCATAGGCCCATGAAACAAAAAGACTACAAGAAATTTATTCGGTCACTCATAGGCTTGATATTGAAAATGAAGATCTCACATTGCTTTATCTTTATACAGATTTTGATCCTATTTATTTTGATGACGCATGTAAAAGTAAAGTGTGGAAAAAAGCCATGGATGAAGAGATTGAAGCAATTGAGACGGAATGACACATGGGAACTTACAACACTTCCTAAGAGCTACAAATCAATTGGTGCGAAATGGATTTACAAGATAAAGAGAAATGTTGATGGGGATATCGAAAGGTATAAAGCAAGGTTAATTGCTTAAGGGTATAAGCAAAGACCCGGAATTGACTATGATGAGGTATTTGCCCCCGTTGCTCGTTTGGAAACTATAAAATTAATCATTTTTCTTGCAGCCCAAATGAAATAGAAATTTTTTCAAATGGATATGAAATCGGCATTTTTGAATGGTGTTCTTGAAGAAGATGTGTATATTGAACAACCAATTGGTTATGTACAAAAAGGGCAAGAAACTAAAATTTACAAATTGAAAAAAGCTTTGTATGGTTTAAAACAAACACCTAGGGCATGGAATAGTAGAATTCATAAATATTTTCTTGAAAATGGTTTTTCGAAGTGCCCATATGAACATACCCTATACATAAAGAAAAATGAAAATTGAGATATTTTGCTTGTTTGTTTATATGTCGATGATTTGATCTATACGGGGAAATAATATGGGCATGTTTAAAGAATTCAAAGAATCCATGATTAAGGAGTTTGAAATGACTAACATTGGGCTCATGTCTTATTTCCTTGGCATTGAAGTTAAACAAATAGATGATGGAATTTTTGTGTCACAAAAATCTTATGCAAAAGAAATTCTCAAGAAATTTAAATTGGAGAATTGTAATCCGGTAAATACCCCGGTAGAAAGTGGTCTCAGATTTAGAAAAGAAAGTGATGGAGAAAGGGTTGATCCTACATTTTTCCAAAGTTTAGTGGGAAGCTCGATACCTAATATGTACAAGACCGGATATTCTTTATGGAGTTTGTTTGGTAAGCCGGTACATGGAGACTCTCACTTGAAAGCGACAAAAAGGATTCTTCGGTATATCAAAGGCACATTTGACCGTGGTTTATTTTATTCATGTTCTAATGTTGTGATCTTGTAGGCTTTGTTGATAAGGATTGGGTCGGAGACTTGAATGATAGGAAAAACACTTCCGAGTACATATTCTACATAGGGAGTACAACATTCACATGGTTATCGAAGAAGCAACCGATCGTGACACTATCAACTTGTGAGGCCGAGTATGTAGCCGTCACATCAAGCACTTGTCATGCATTGTGGCTACGGAATTTTTAAAGAACTTTTAAAGCCTCAAAAGACTCCCACCAAAATCCATGCAGATAACAAGTCGACAATTGTATTGGCAAAGAACCCGATGTTTCATGAGAGAAGTAAGCACATTGATACACGGTTCCATTTCATTCGGAACCAAGCGAAAGTGAAGAATGTTGAACTTGTTTATACAAAGACGCAAGATCAAGTTGCCGACATTTTTACAAAACCTCTCAAACATGAATTGTTTCAAAAATTGAAAGTTATGTCAGGAGTAACCAAATTGGAAAATCAATCTAAAGGAGGATGTTAAAAATAAGCTTGATTATGTTCAAGGGTATATTGGGTATTAGATTTAAATGTAATGGATATTTTGGGAAAATTACGTTAAGGGTAATTTTAGAAGGATGTAAAAGAAAGCTTGATTATATTCAAAGGTACATTGGGTATTAGATTTAAATGTAAGGACATTTTGGAAAAGTTATGTTAAGGATAATTTTGAAATGATATAAAAGAATTGTGTAGAGTTCCAAAGTCACAATTCCAAAATTAAGAGAGAGAAATTTCAATATTGAGAAAAAAGAGTCCCAAAAGATAGATGAGGCCAAAGCATGCAATGCATGCAATTTTGAATTGGGTATGGGTGAAGTCTAGGATTTTCTTGAATAATCTTGTAATTTCGTCCAAACATATCGGTTGTAAGTTATGAGAGGGAAAACATCTCTAGAATGGTGTAGAAAGAGTCTAGAAAGCTTATAAGTGGTCTATATATACATGTACTATGTTTTTGTTTAAGTAGAATGAAAAAATTGTATTGAATAGAGCTTTTTTATGTGCATAGTACAAATTCTAAAAGTAAGCCTTCTTCCCCCCTATTTTCTAACAAAATTATGGGTACCAGAACTCTGAAAATCTGCAAAAACAACATAGATAAATAATTTGGTAACATTGGTTTTTCGGAGAGGTCGGTGCAGGGATCGATTGCGCTGGGTTATGGTTACCAACAACCTTAAAATTTACATAGGAGAGATTGTGGGTTTATTGGTAGCTCATTGGAGGGTTGCCTATGGATGGAGACAACAGGAAAATTTTGAGATTAGGAGAAAGAGTGGGTACACGGGGTTGGCAAATAGATGGGAGTTTGCAGGTTTTAGGTCAGCATATTGCAGATTTTGAGTTTTTAGAAACAACGGAAAGTTTGCGGATGTGGGGATGGCTGCAGCGTGAGGGATGACGGGATGGTGCGAAGCAAAAGCGATAGCCGAAAAAGAAAAAATTAAAAAAAAAATCGGAAAACCTGATGCACAAAAGGTGTACGGCCAATCCCAGAGAAAAAAACTCATAAGAGTCCAAATCAACTCAACAGAGAGACATATTCGAAACACAACTCAGCAGAGAGTCAAAACGTGAGTCGACAGAAAGTGCACCGCAATAGAAAAAGGGAAAGGTTTTTACGCTTCCCTATAGCACAGAAGTTCTATCTTCCCCTACCATCCAGCAGTCCAATTTTGATCAAGAGAGCCACTCACCGTTTGATCTAAGATTTGATGTCTCAAAGTATTTTATTTTTAGTTTTTTTATACAAATTATATAAATATAAAATTTGGTACGTGTCATCTTCTCATTGAGAGTGCCTATAAAAAATATTAAAAATAAATTTTTGATAAATATAATAACCAAAATACCTCTTGAAACTTTCATTTTATTT